GACACAAGGCCCAGATTGGTGAATGGGTAGTGCCCCCTTTCTAAAGTGCCAAACTCTTCACTGGGGTCTACTCAAACACGGCTGGAATCCTGTGCCTAACTGACACTTAACCAGCTGACATTGGGTTGAACACTGTATTAGAATAGAAAAGGCAATTTTGGCCACATATTTGCCTAGTAAACTACCACGGGACTACCTGCATTTGAAAAGTTTCTTCGATGGTTTGAGGCTAATTCTTCTTTCTTTCCTAGATGGCTCCATCAAATGGAGCCTGTTTTAGGCTTCGTTCTGAGGTTTTACCTTTGTCTACACGAAGCAGTAGAACCAAAGTTATGCTCCGGTATTTTTTTAAAGCAAGAGAACTGAAAGAAATGAGGGCCAGTCATGTGTGCCTTCCCTTGATGCTGCTGTTTGATGAAATTTCTCGACCTTGTATTTAAAATGTGGCTTTTGTGTGTGCAGGCTCCATAATAGCAAGCCCACGCTAGCTATCAAATGCCGATATTGATACTATCTTTGGGACTAAACACTGACAGACAGACAATGGCAACACAGAAACTAGAATATATCTCAAATAAAATTCTTGCATAGATTCAAAACATAATCTTGTAATTATTAAAACTGGGGTTTAATTAGACACTGATATTGGTTTGGGGTTTAACTCCTTTATTAGGTCTTAAGAAACCTAACCGATTAACTCTCTGCTTTAACTTCAGCCATAATTTCAATTTTCAAAATTATGCACTTCATATATGCATCTTCTCTCAACTCACCAAGAAGATATACATGTAATAAATTTTCTCAAACTTTTAAGAAACACTATCCACATCTCAAATAGCAGCAACATCTCAAAGTAAAAATGAAATACTGCTCTGAACAGAATGGATCTGTTTTCCAGCAACAAATTAAAAGGAGTAGGTTCAAATCAAACTTTAAAGCATATTCTCAGCCATCAGCTGAACCACTGGAAAGACACATGCCGACAAGAACACTGTATGGCCGTTAACCATAGGAATGGCATTATATATCCCTTATTCACACTACAATCTAAACGCATACAATTAAAGCCACCCCATCAGCCGTCCATATTAATCACTCACCAATTTAATTAAAGTAAACCACCCTGTCAGAAAACTTGCCTCTTCTCTATTTCTTAACATTATTGACTTTTAATAGTTTACCGAATTAGTAATTACTTGTTTATGACATTATCAAATGTCTTAGACACAAATGTCCAGCATGTAGCAGGGTCAGCTATAGACATGTGCTGATGGCAGATGAAAGGAGAAATTTAACCCATCAAAGTGGTCATCAAAAGAACAGAATCTGTTATGCTTTTCTCTAGACGCTCTTGGTTAAATTCAAAGTGACAGGACAAACCAGATCAAAACTAAACAGAGTTAGATGCAACATACAAAATCCTAATGAACCCTCAGAAATCTAGGTATTGACCTGTCAATATCTAAGCTCAATTAGTCCTTTCAGAGCAAAATACCTCACGAGGTGACAACAAACTGGTTTGAGGTCTCCGCTATGAAAAGAACAAACCCAGTCACTTGCCGGTGCACCACCACCACCGAGCCCGCGCTCCAGAGGTCACACGCCGCAGCTGAAGCCTGCACACTCAAGAGCCTGTGCTCCCCACCAGGAGAAGCGACTGCGAGGAGCCCACACACCACAACTAGAGGGCAGCTCCCGCTCACCGCAACTAGAGAAAGCCTGTGGGCGACAACAGTTAATTTAAAAAAAAAAAATTTTTTTTTAATGCTTTTAAAAAACCCAGTCACTTTACAGTCACTTTATAGCTCATTGCTAAGTGCAGTCATAGCTCAACCTGGAGATCTTGGGAGGATGAAATGAAGACATGAGTCAAGTACCTGCCCACTCAGTCCAGGAGCTAGCACGTTACTAGTGCTCAGTAAACATCAGTCCTTCCTCCACTCTTTGAGAACTCAGGCCTATTGAGTCAAAAATCAACTTTAAGTGGCAATATAGACAACACACCTTAAAAACACTTAATGTCAAAAAAAAAGTAGCAAATGGGATCATGAAAATGAACAATAGACACTGAAAACATGGCTCCTCCTTCATGGTCATTTGCAACCTTCGTATTTTGTGAAATAATCTCTAGGGATGAGATCTAACAACAACTGAGCCAGATGCGAACTGATCCCACCAGTGAGTGAGAACTCAGCAACGTTTGAAGCCTATGAACAGTTTCCCTCCTAAAATCGCCACCGCCGGGCACACTCTGGGCTTTCAACAGCTCCAAACAAACCAGGAACACAACCGGAAGGCTAATTTTTTTCATTAGAATTGTTAAGAAACCAGGAGTTCAATAAATCATTTGCCTTCAAAGGAAAAAAAAAATTACTTTCTAGCACAACATAATGTTTCTTCTGGTTCTAAGAAAATGAAGCTCAGTTATTACAAAATGAAAAGTGTAATACGATAGTGAAGTCTCCCTGTGGCTCACAAATGAAGTATTTAAGAAACAAAGGTATGGGAAGAACAGGGTGTGGCCTAAAAAATCTTGAATCAAGTACTAGTATGTGACTTTCAGGAAGTTAATGTCTCAGGGACTCATTACTGTGAGGTTCTTTTCAGCTCAAAAAAAGGTACCATTACAGTATCTGATCCTCTCCAGTCCTCTCCCCACTCCGTATGTATTTGTTTAAACACACACATACACACTCACATGTACATTTATTAAACACCATAGGCATATTTTTTAAGTTGCAGTCATTTAAGGTCCCTTATGAAACAAAAGAGAGTGAATGTGTATGTGTTGCGCATTCTGACCCTGAACACCATTCTCAGTGGTGAGGGCATTTACACAGGCTCGTGACACATGACTTAACCAAGTAAGCCTTTAAACCCTTACAATGAAACATTAAAATTCAATGTGGCTATAATCTCTTCCTTACAAAACATGGACCCACAGAGTCTGGCTTCAAAGATGGTTAAAAAAAAAAAGGTCGAAATGTTATTATATTCACCACCAAGCTCTTCCAAAACAACCTACCCCATCAAAAAACACAAATGAAAACTCACAGGCCCATTGTAATACATTGTACCACTTCTGAATGCAACACTTAGCTCAGGCTTACTACCCTGACAAATAAAGGAAAGCACTTTATGAAGCCAATTTAATTGGGAGGTGACAGAAAACATACAGCCATTTTCTTTAGCCTTATCATTGAATTGGCTTCAGCTCCAATCTCTGGTAAATCCCACTCAACAGAAGAAATTAACCAGGTCAGCAGAACAGGTGCTACGTTGTGTCTGTCAAGGGTCTGGCATCACCACAATTACTTGCACACAATGAAGTGGTAATCTTTACAGATCATCTCTCCCAAGAAGCATATTGGGGGAGGGGGAGGAAAACGGAAGGGAGGAAGTGGGGGGTAGTGGGAAGAAGAGGAATAGGAGGCAAAGAGAAAAGGCAAGAAAAGAAAATGAATGTGCAGCTGCCTGGCGGCTCAGCAGATGTCGACTGTGATGTACGAGGCTGGGATAAGCTGTCGTAGCCTGCTGCCAAAGAGTGGTAAGTGATTAAAGCCTGCACACTTCTAAGCACCATATTTAGAATCTGCGGGGTTTCAAGCCTTGCACCCATTCCTTGCTGTGCTGCCAGATGTTGGCAACTGGTCCAGTTCCTACTGACTGTGCGTGGATGGCAGCAGTTGGTGCGGCAGCAAAGCAATCTGGAATGCTTCCGGAGATGCCGTACATTAACAAGTGTCACCCATCATTCACCTTTACAGAAGGCTGAAACAACTCCAATTTGCTGCCACTTCCCTCTTGGGAAACAGCCAAGATAAAGTTGTGCCTGGCAGCCCCATTTGTTTCACTCAGGTGTTTCAGCTGCCTCGCTGACCTCTATTAGTTTAAGTTTTAATTTAGATTAACCCCAGCACCCCAATTAACCAGCAAGGGGAAAAGCGAAGATGTGACTAGTCATAACTAAAATCAGAATTTATCGAAGTTAAAATTATTAATTGGGATGAAGAGCCAATCAAGTAATGCTATTTCTTTGTAAGCAGACCTCCAGGCCAAAAAAAAAAAAAAATCTTTCAGACTAAGGATTGCCAGTGGAAGCAGCTTCCCCCAGTAATTTCAGTTTATTTCATTAGGCCTATTTAATTTATGATGCACTTTCTATCGAACAATGTACACTTCAATTAATGAAGACTGGAACATTCTGGATTATCTCCCATGATCTCACACACTCACACAGCATTAGTATCCCATGTCGGGTACTCTCTTAGACATTCTAGAGCAAAATAGAGTTCCCCACTCTTCTGACAAATGGACATAATAACAGAGAAAAAGGAAAAAAGAATCAAGACCTCTGACTGGGAACACCTGGGGCCACACACCAATCCTCTTGCCTCCACCCTCTCATCATTACTTTTAAGACTCACAGCAATAATTTTATGGAACATCAGACTGAACAGCAAGATTAATTTTTAAAAATCTCTCTTTTTTAGGGCAAAACCAGAGGTATCCTCAACACAGAATCATTTTTTCTACTTTCTTCAGAATATAATTTTCCTATGTTCCTTCCTTCATACTTTCATATACTACTAGGACTGTCATTATGGCTACACCTCCAACAAGCATTTGCAAAGTCTTCCATAAAAGTTAACAAAGATCACTGTGACAAATGACTCAACCGAAACTGAACAGCATCCCTGGCTCTCCAGAGCTCGAGAGGGGACAGCCTACAGCACGTTTCATTAAGATGCACGACTGATAAAAGAGACCCAGGATTAGAGGAAATTATTTTAGCTCTTCAGAATAGCCCAGATGTTTAGTCTACCTGGATGGTACAACCATCAAGTACATCAAGTCGACTCTGAGTACATGTTCAGAAACCCTGTCTGACTCTATCCTTCCAACGTAAGATAGCTACCTTTAGGTCAGAGAATTCTATCAGGTGTCTTTAAATGCTAAAGCCTGATTTATAACAAAAGAAAAGAGTGTAAAAACCATACCTGGTGATAAAAGTCATCATCATCAAAGATTTCTTCATCCAAGTCCTTCAGGTGGGCATTGGCAGGTGCCTCAGGAAGGATCTCCTACATCAACGAGAAGAGTGAATCCCAATGAAGTTACCAAAGTAATGCAGTGATCATAATGTGCAGAACAGTAAAAGCATTATCTTCCTTAAGATATAAAGAGCTCTTAAAATTAAAGAACAAAAATAATGCCGTTGAAAAATGGGCAAAACATTAATACGCACTTGACAGAAAAAAACACAAATACTCAATGGTTCTATGAAAATATATTTAATCTCATTCTATTACATGCAAATTGAGATGAAAAAACATCATTTTTCACCTCTAAAACAGGCAATCTTCAGTAATGGAAAACACAGCAGCCTTTTCGAGGCAATTTTACATCTATCTAAAGTGCATATTCTCCTTAACATTTCCACTTTAAGAAGTGTATCCACATGTTCACATAAAAACAAAAATATATAAATGCTCAGGAATGTTTCTTATAGCACTGTTTCTAAAACTAGAGAAAACATAAATATCCACTGTTCAAACAAATTATAGTACACATCCATACAATAGAATACTCTAGCCATTAGAAAAAAATGAGGTAGATCTCTATGTAACAGCCTGGAAAAATATCTAGAATCATTTAGAAAGCTGTAAGATTTTATATATAATTTATATATTTATACACATATATATATCCATCCCATTTAGTTAAAAAAAAATAGACAATCTTTTTTTGTTTTTTTGGCCATGCCGTGCGGGCTATGTGGGATCTTAGTTCCCCAACCAGGGATCAAACCCATGCCCACTGCATTGGGAGCATGGGATCTTAACCACTGGGCCAATAGGAAAGTTCCAAAAACCGTATTTTTATGAATGCATATGTGTTATATATGTGTGTGTCTGTGTCTGTGTAGAAAATACCTAAAAGCTTGTTACAACTACGAACATTGGTTAAACCTGAGGAGTAGAATTTTCAGACTAAGGGAATTTTACTTTTCATTTTAAATTCTTCTGAACTTAAGAAATACATATTAAGTATATATTTCTACTATAAATAAAAGAGTTTCCTTTAGACAGAAGAATCTGCCTATTCCAATTCTGGATCCTTTTCTGGAGCATATAAACATGCAAAGGAAAGCCTAAAGTACACACTCAACTCAGTATTAGTGCTTCTAAATAAGAAGCTTTAAAACTGAATTTGAAAAACTGAATTACAAATGCTTCCATGACCACTCATATCTAACTCAAAATTAAAAGAAGGCTATACACAAGTTAATAATAGTTTTATTCATTATTATTTTTTGTTTAGGAGAAAAAGTGGCTTTATTTCTTTGCCAGGCAAAGGGGTAACACAGTAGGCTAGCACCTCAAGAACTGTGCCCCTAATGGCTTCATTTTTTTAAAAACTTTCCCCTCCCACATCATCTCAGTTTCTCAAACAAAGCAGTGCTTTTTTTCCCCCCCTTTCTTTCGTTTATTTCTTATACCCCGAGGAATACCTACAAGGAGGTGAGCAGATCATCCAGTTAATTAGCCTCCTAGGAACTGCTCCCGTAATCACCATGCATCAGAGTCCTTACCGGCTGCCCTGGCAGACTCTCCGGGACAGGCTGGGCTGCTGGCTCAGGTTTGCCAAGAACTCGGTAGACAGAACGCTTGGTCTGTGTCCTTCGAAGTAATCTTTCTTTGTCCATCAGAATATGATCGATCTGAGTCAAGATTGAGCGTTCAAAGGCACCAAATCCCTGCAACAATATCAACCAGTGTCAGACAACGTGCAGTCTCTGCAGAAGGCAGTGACGTTGGTTTCTCTATCTTTCTGTGTCAGCAGAGAAACAGACAATCCTCTTTCCAGGAGAGACTTTCAGTTAAAGGCTGAGTGTGTGAATGGCTGTGACTGTTCTCAGAAAAAAATTAAATATTAGTCTTAAGCAGGTCACATCACTTTCCTATACCCAGAGATTAACTTCTGCTCCTTTAATATTAATTGTGGTAAAATCCGTTTCTTTAAGGTATTTTGTTTTTCCAACACTTACAAGGCCACCATTTCTAGACTTAAAACACTCCTCACTAATAAAGTTGAAAATCCATGCCTGAACGGTATAAACCTCAGTGGTAGGAGTTCAGTAAATTTCTCTACAGAAATGACGGATGACTACCACATCAAGGCATCATCCATATAAGGGAGCTGTGGCTCCAATTTCTCACAGCTGCTTCAGGTTGCCACGACCTGCCTCTCACACACACACACACACACACGCGTGCACGTGCACACACACACACACACACACACACACACACACACGCCCATGCTTGCCTTCCCCAGTTTTCCGGAAGCCAGCTTGGTCTTATCGTGCCATTTCTGGAGCGTTCGGTTCCTGTAGACAGTGAAGTCGGCAAAGCGCTTCGCCATGAAGCTGGGGTAGTCCTCCGTCTCCAGCTTCCTCTTTGCTGGGCCCCTCCTCTGTGGCTGCTGCTTCTCCTCTATGAGCTCTTCATTGTCACTGGAAATCTCTTCTTCACTGGAAAACCCAGTAAGAGTCCAATGTAAATAAATGGTACCTGGGTAAAACCCAGGCCCACATGCAGTCAGGAGTATTCCCTGGTGGCCCAGTGGCTAAGACTCTGCACTCCCAAAAAAGGGGGCCCAGGTTCGACACCTGGTCAGGAAACTAGATACCATGTGTGGCAACTAAAAATCCCACGCAACCAAACAAATAAATAAATATATATATTTTAAAAAGAGTATGGCTTTTTTCTTGTTGGAAGAGAGCATTCATGCAGTCAAACAAAAACTTCTGTACTTTTTCAAATAAATATAAAAATAAAAATAGGTGGTTTCAAAAATATTTTTAAAGGGTAAGAAAACCATAAAAGTAAATGAGGTTGTTAAAAACATTATTAGAAATGCACATGAACCAGGCCTATACTGTTATAGGAGGGTCTTTAAAAATTAAACACATAATCATACTTTTATGACCTTAATCCCCAAATCAATAAGGGAAATATGTCTCTCTGTAACCAATTGTTCGGGAAAGCTGAATAGTATTAGTTGAACCAAATGAAGAGGGGCAGAACGTGAAGAACACTCAAGGCGATAGGCCACAGAACCCAAGCTAGACTGCAATGCCCCCAGCCGCCTGAGAACGTACCGGAGCCCCCAGTTAGAACCAGCTGCACTCTGTGCACTGCCGACCCCAACACACAGGAAGCGCTTCCTACATGTGAGCGCCTCTCCTCTGCCCTTCAGACTAACTCAGTGGAAAGGAGTGGAGCAGAAGAGAAGCGCAATGGAAAACAACAGGCAGGCACCACTTGCAGCAGGCTCAGCCAGAGGGAGAGGTCAAAGAGTGGGGTGAACCTTCATCAAATGTGATCATTTTAGGAAGGGAAAAAAAGGCTTATTCTGCTATTTTCCAAAATGTTTCCACCCTTCAAAATAACTGCTTCTTCCCTTACTAAAAAGTCAATGGTTGCAACTGGCAATTCCATGTATAGGCAACAAAGGGCTTCATAAACATCAATGAAGCATTCATACTAAAAATGTGCTTTCACCAATAATTTCACTAGATGTAAAAAAGAAGGCAAGTCTGGGGAATTCCCTGGTGGTCCAGTGGTTAGGACTCAGTGCCCTCACTGCCAGGGCTCTGGGTTTGATCTCTGGTCAAGGAACTAAGATCCCACAAGCCGAGAGGTGCAGCCCCCAACCCCCAAAGGCAAGTTTTTTGCAGAAGCTTACAAAGGTAATTGGGCTTCTCAGGCGGCTCAGTGGTGAAGAATCCACCTGCAATGCAGGAGACACAGGTTGATCCCTGGGTCAGGAAGATCCCCTGGAGGAGGAAATGGCAACCCACTCCAGTATTCTTGCCTGGAGAATCCCATGGACAGAGAAGCCTGGCAGGCTACAGTCCACAGGGCCACAAAAAAGTTGGATACAACCTAGCGACTGAGCATGCACGCATGCACAAACACTGTTAGGCACAACTACATATAAAAATCTGAAAGATAATCCCCAATTTATGTGCCATCCTGGCTACCAACTGAATGTGAGAGGCTCTTTCTATTGATAGTTTACTAACATTAAGAAATCTGATGTCTTCCGGAAAGGACCTGACTTTATAAAAAATGGGAAAATATTCAGATGAAAAGACAGAGATTCCATAGTTCCATTCCTCCTTACCTTTCTGCTTTGGGTTTTGTACCATCTACGAGATACCTAGTGTCTGGGTACTGGAAAAGCAACTCTTCCTGGAGATCCACCAATGACCTCAACAGTGCTTTAAGTGCCTTGTGACCTGGGAAATAAAGCAGAGAGAAGGAACAGTTAATTACCTACAGTGCTCCAAAGCAGATGATGCCTCTGACGCCTGCCTCCTGAGTAGTACTGGCTGGTGGGGGCGGGCAGCAGCGGCGGGGGTTATACAGGATAGGCCGGGCCTAAGAACTCTCTGAAATACAGAATTTCTGAAAGGAAAAAATAACAGTGCCTACCTCCTAGAGTCCTTGTGGAGAACAAGCAAGGAAACATGTGTAAGAAACTTAAAACATCTGCAATAAATTCTGAGTTCTTAAATTTACTAAGTTTGACAAAATCCTTCCTTGTCTGTCATCATAACCAATCATTTTCTTCCTCTGGTGTTACTCTCTCAGTTGCCTTTCAACAGGTTACCTCTTGGATTATCTCTTTATCAACTGGCTCCTTAAGCAATACCTTCTCTTTTCCCCCCAGAAGCACAACTTAGTCCTGGGATTCCTATCACCACCACCTCCCTTCCCTGAGAGATCTTCTTTGCCCGTGGTGTGAGCTGCCACCTCATTCATTCACTCTCTCAGCGTATACCCTTATGGAAAGTTCCTGTTCACGAACACAAAACCAAGTTAATGACTTCCTGTTCACGAACACAAAACCAAGTTAATGACTTCCTGTTCACAATACAGTCATCGCTCTGTATCCTCACAGGATTGGTTCCAGGGCCTCTCCCCCGGGATAGCAAAAACCCACAGACGCTCAAGTCCCTTACTTATATCAAAGGGCTTAGTATTTGCATATAACCCATATAACCTACCCACATCCTCATACATACTTCAAATCATCTCTAGATTACTTACAACAACTAGTATAACGTAAATGCTACATAAATTGGTGTGAATATGATACAAATATTATGGAAATGGTTGTCAGAGTGCTGCAGATTTTGGGAACTTTCTGACTTTTTTTTTCTTTCCAAATATTGTTGGTTCAAAGTTGGCTGGATCCGGGAATGTGGAACCCCAGGATCTGGAGGGTCCAGTGTACTGAATCATGTATTGGAAATCTGCTCATCGGACGTATGTTCTCACCCAGTTCTCCTCACAGACAACAGGACGTGTTCGTAATAAAGCTGGTCGGGATCAAGTGTAAAGTCTATGACCAAGAGCTTTCAGAATAAAAACTGGCTCTCTGAGAAACTCTTACCTTCCTTATCAGCATAATCCTACTAATCCTACTGAAGGGGCTAACTAGACGTTGATAATTACTAGTTATGTTTTGATAGCACTCAGACATCTCTTTATAATCAAACTCTCACATTTCCAGCAACTAAGAAAATCTCCACATGGATGTTCCATCACTCCCTCAAACACACCATGTCAGAAACAAAAGTTTTTTCTTTCAATCCAATACTTCTCCTTTGTCTGCTTCTCTCGTCTCTGTCTAATTTTCATAGGTGATCACTGACAAGTTTTGGTGCCGGTATTCAGTATATTCAATCAGTGGCTAAATCCTGTGTTTTCCATGTGTATTATCACTAAGAGCTGTCCATTTGTCTCTGGCTATAGGTGATGGACAGGGAGGCCTGGTGTGCTGCGATTCATGGGGTCGCAAAGAGTCGGACAAGAATGAGCGACTGAACTGAACTGATGCTTCTATCAGTCCTTCCCTCTTTCCCTTAAGGACACATAATCTTTCAAGCGTCCTGACTCTCATTTAGCAGACCCTCCATTCATTTCTTGGGCTTCATTTCATTCATTCATTTCGTGGCTCATCGGTAAAGAATCTGCCTGCAATGCAGGAGACACAGGAGATACCAGTTCGATCCCTGGATCAGGACAATTCCCCTAGAGGAGGAGATGGCAACCCACTCCAGTATTCTGGCCCGGAGAATCCCATGGACAGAGGAGCCTAGCGGCTACAGTCCATAGGGTCTCAAAGAGTTAGAAATGACTGAAGCAACTTAGCACACATGCACGTGGTAAGTGTGTAACTAGAATAATACAAAATTAAGTGTATATATGGAAAATAATTAAAATAGTGAGGAAAGCAAAGAATAAAAATGGTAACTACAAATACTATGTTACCATAAGTGATCATCTATGAAAACAGCTGAGAATTATAAACAGAGAGCCCATAATAGCTAAGGTTCTGAAAGTATGTTATAGCAAGAAACTTAAGAAAATAGAAGAGACACTAATACTTGTAAGGAAGCCCATGAAAACAGAAATCTCATCTCATCCTAATTCTATGTAAGTATGAACCATTGTTTTTACTCCTTTTCTAGAAACAGCTATTTGTAAGACAGCCCATGTTCTCCAAAGTGAAACCACAAATCAATTTTGCATCTGTAAAGTGGTCCTCAAAATTCCCAAGACTAAACCTTGAAAATATTAGGCTATGTGAAATAAGCCAGTTGCAAAATAACAGATACGGTATGATCGCTCTTCTATGAGGAACCTGAAACTAGAGTCAAAGCCATAGAGAAAACAGAAGAGTGGCTGGAGAGTGGGGTGGGGACTTGTTTAATGGGCAAAAGTCTCAGCTCGGGATGATAAAGGTTTCTGAACGGACAGTGGTGGTGGTGGGAGGACAATGTGAATGTACTTTCGATTGAGTTGCACTCTTTAAAATGGTTCAAAACAGTCAATTTTATGCCATATCTATTTTACCACAATTTTTAGAAATACTTAACTAATTCTTAAGGCTGAAGTAATAATAACTCTTCCTCCCCAGTCTATCTCTACACAGAAAAAGTCATCTACAATCCCTCAGTCTGGAGCCTAGTCTGAAAGAACAACGGAATATTATTCAGCCTTAAAAAGGAGGGGAATTCTGACACAAGTCACAACATGGATGAGTCTTGAGAACATTGTGCTAAGTGAAATAAGTCAGTCACAGAAGGACAAATACTGTATCATCCCACTTATACGAGGTATCTAGAGTAGTCTAATTCATAAAAACAGAGAGAAGAATGGTGCATGTCAGCAGTTGGGGGAAGAGGGAAATGGAAAATTGTTGTTTAATGGGTACAGGGTTTTAGTTTCACAAAATCAAAAAGTTCTGGAGACTGAATGTATAACAATGTAAATATACTTAACACTACTGTACTGTACACTTAGGATGGTAATTTTCATGCTATGTGTCTTCTTGCCACAATAAAAAATAATTATAAGCACAGGAAAAACAAGTACCTGTCCCTTACTTCCTCCAGGTACCACATGTCCATGACCTAAAATAGGAGATGAAGAACCATGCAGAGAAGAAGCTGCAAAGCAGTCCATAATGTTTATGGCTGCTTACCCCCAACAAGCAAGTCATAATTTGACTCTCACATGTAACATAACCAAGAACTGTGAAAACATCCAACACAGAGACTACTGCTTTTAAGGGCCACTTTCAAGCAGCTATACAAGCCCTTTTATTTTGTTCAAGTCAGTTTAAAAAAATCCACTGCAGATATATTAGACAGCATATCAATCCAACAAGAAGGCAGAGAGCCAATATCAGTAAATCAAAGTGTGCCTTTCTGTTAATACTCTCTCATACGTCGTCATTTTACACAGCCCTTCACCCAGTCAGAAAGTAGCCCTGAAGTATTTAAGCTCCATCCAGGGATAGCACCACCATGCATCAAAGTGTCAGGAGACCTACCAGAGACGAAATCTGCAATTCTGTGCTTCTAACCACCACCACCACCACCCAAAAAAAAATGTTTATCAAAGTCAAGCCATCAGTGGTCAATACATGGACAACTTCCTGTAAAGAGATTTAGAAGCCAGAACCCAATTCTCGCTTCTTTGCAGTATCAGGGTCACATTTCCTTCCAGTGAACTTTTATGTAAAACCTGTAGAAACAGTGAGCAATCCTCTGCTGGACGTGGCAGGCCCCCCTGAAGCCACAGTTGACCAGGGTGAGGAAAGATGCTCTCCTGAAGGCTCACATCCCACAATGAGTTCTTCCCAGCCCGAAACCAAAACGAATCAAACCAAAAAACTCTATCACTCATACAAAGTTGAATTCCATTTGTTCAACCTTATGAATGATCAAGGGAATGGAATCAACGGTTTCTAATTCACCTCTAGTTTCTCTCCCAATTACCACCAGAGTTCAAAGCTAAGAAAAGCAGCAGAGATGCACACACCCTTTCCTCTCTCTCCCTCCTGGCACGTGGCCACAAAACAAGCGGAGACTGCCAAGGACATACATGTTTATTTTGTCCTACCTGGTCCATTTCCAGAGGCCTTTGCCTTAAGAGGAGATTAAGAAGGACACGTGACTGACCTTATTACCAAGACTCAACCTAAGCACCCGGGCACCAGCCGTAGGAATAATTTCCCAAGGAAAGAATAAATGGAAAGAGTACTTTACTAAGAGCCAGGAGACCTGGATATTAACAGAAACTATCCCTAACTAGTCATTTTCCACTGAGTGGACCCCCCCCCCCATTTAATCTCTTTGAGTCTCAATGATCTCATCTACACCATGCAGATAATCCTTAACCTGGTTATCTTGCAGAACTAAGGCGAAAAATAACAAATGCTTGTATATATTAAGGTATGCTGTAAATGTTTAAATGCTATATAATAGAAAGTATATTGCTATTACAAAATCGGCATCTTCACACAGCGAAAATCTCAGGCTCTGCTTGCTGTGATCTACAGTGCTAAGACAGAACTAGTATTCATACATTCCCACATTAAGTATTCATTTACATGCTGCCCATATGCAAGCATTCTATATATAAAATGTCACCAATCTAAAAACCATTTTCACCTAACAGCTTTATTTTTTTCCTTGATTCATCTAGGCTGTTCGACATAAACAAAACTGGAGGCAGAGAATAAGTTTGGACATGGGGCACACAGTTCGTTAATTAGATTATAAACCAATAAGTAAAATTTCTGGTGAGGAGATGGAGGGCAATGGGGACAGCAAAGGCATAAAGTAAAATAAAGCTCGCCTTATCAGTTTTTAAATATCCACACCATTATTTTTAAAGCAAATATGCAAACATACAATTATTTATGTGCGAGTATGTATAA